ACAGGAGCTCAACCAGATAAAGAGAGCAATGATCCATATTGTGAGCTAGGGTCGATCGCTGCAACATGATGGCTTCCTCTGGACTGGACTTTGCTTCTGGATGCCGAGGCTCAAAGTCACCAAGTTGAACAGAGGATTCTTCAGCAAAAAGGCCAGGCTTAATCCCTCAGAGTTCTGGTTTGATAGGAAAGGGCAGGTCAGAAAATTGGCTGTTTCTAAAAGGGGGGTATTAGGGTATGAAGTAGCTGGTGTACACTTTTCACGAAGAAAGTTATTAGTAAGATGTTTGAAGAGGGGGGCTAATCCACAATGTAGATGAGCAAAATGTAATGAAAATGAAACTAATTATATGAATAAATATTTAAAAAAAAAAAAGAGCTACAGAGCCAGGAAGTCTGAGAATCCTTGGCTTTGCCATTTTTGAGCTATGTAACCCTCTGACTGGTTTTCTGATCTATCAAATTAATGTTACGATATTACTAACCTCTGTTAGTTTCCGGTGACTGCTGTAACAAATTATCACAAACTGGGTGACATAAATAATAGAAATTTAATCTCTTACAGTTCTGAAAGTCAGAACTTAAAATCAAGATGTCGTCAAGGCTACAATTCCAGGGAAGAAGGTGTCCCTTTCTTCTTTTTAAGGGCTTCTGTGACGCCTGGGATTGCATGTCTTTCTTTGACTATGGCTGCATGCCTATATTCTTTGCCCTGTTGTCACATGCAATTTTCTCTGAGTGCCTGATCACCCTCTGCCTCTTAAAGGAACACTTGTGATGGCTTTTAGGGACCAGCTGGGTAATACAGGATAATATCCTCATCTCAAGAGCCTTAACTTCATCACATCTGCAGTTTTTACCATACAAAGTTGTAATCACGGATTCTAGGGATTTACCATGTGGTCTTATCTTTCAGGGCCTTTGCCAGCCTAACTCCCTAGATTGTGTGTTGAGTCTATGAATTTAACTAGTACCAAACAAACCTAGTACTTAGATAATGCCATTTTATAGTGCTAAACATTTTTTTTAAAAAAGACACAGAAAGTGATAGGGAATCAAAAGATGAAAAATACAGTGACTGATAATTATGTCATTTGCTGGGAAGCTCAGCTGATCTTTCCAGTGTTTGTCTATGAAGATCTGTGGACACACAGCACTCAGCCCTAAAACCCAGTCAATGAGCCCAAAATGAACCTTTGACCAGGCCCCATCCTGCCTATGTATATTCCAAGGTAAACAGGGCCCCTCTTCATCCATATTAATATGTACAGCATCTCACGCACACGGAAAATTGATTTTTCCTTTAAAGCATAAAATGTTGCCGTTTTATAACCTTTCTGGAGCTTGACAAAGGCCATTTATAACCTACTTTCACCGTCTTCTTTCCTGGCGCCAGTCTCAAATGTCTCCAAGAACCTTCTCATGCATTGGTAATTACAAGGGCTTCTTAGGCAAAATTTCATTTCCTAAAGGGCTGACCTTTTTTTTTTGTTTTTGTTTTTGTATTTTTTTAGATTAATTTTTGTATGTATTTCTGGTTATTGATGTTGTTCAGGCCCTGGACTTGGAAGGGGAGCTGGGGAGTTAGTTCGGGTGGAGGGGCTGGAGGAGCACAGTGGGAGGGCATTTTAATCAGCGCTGCCCAGTGATGGATGAGGAGGGCTGAGTTCTGGGTGTTAATCTTTGTGGACAGGAAATGCCACTACTGCAACTGAAATGAAAACATAGCACCTCATTTTCCCTTCCAAAGGCAGCAAAGTTGGAACTGCTTCTCTATCTACCAGTCTGGAGAAAGTAAGCCCAGTCTCATCAAATGATGGAAAACGAAATTAATAACCGATTGTGCCCTTAGTCTGGAGTTCCTGAGTGGTGCAGATAGCTAATGTAATTGTCTGCTAAATAAACTAAAGAGTTGGCCATTTGAATCCACCCAGAGGTGCCTTACAGGGAAGCATAGATCTGCTTCCAAAACTATCCATTGCTAACTCTCCGTAATCCAGTTCTACCCTGACTCACATGGGGTTGCTGTGAGTCAGAGTTGATTCATTGGCACCTAATTGACTGGTGTCCACAAACTGAAATCTTCCATTCACAGAGAATTTACCACATGCCAGTCACTGAAAGGGGTTAAATGGCTGAGGTCTCCAAGGGTACAGAGATCTGAAGGTTGGAATCAGTAGTTTGGGGAGCTGAAGGTGGCTCCTGTGATTGAGGGAGCACTGTGCACTGGCAAGGCAGAAAACAATTCGTTATATAATACCCTTACTAAAGCTTAAGGAACATGGAATTGTTATTGTTATGATGTGCCGTCAAGTCTCCTATGACTCATGGTGACCCTATTCACAATAGCTGTGTACCTTGCCTTAGATAGAACCAAGGCCTCACTCTCTCTGACTCACCTGCCCTCATTGCCCCAGTCACTGTGTCAATCCATCTTATGCAGGGTCTTCCTGTCCTATACCATCCCTCCACCTTTCTAAGCATGATGTCCTTCTCCAAGGACCAGTCCCTCCAGGCAACATGTCCAAAGTATGTGAGACAGAACTTCAAAATCCTTGCCTCCAAAGAGCAATGTGGCTTCACCCGCTGCAGAACAGACTTGTTTGTGCTCTTGGCAGTCTATGGAACGTTCAGTACTCTTCCCCAGCACCACAACTCAAAAGCATTGATTCTTCTTCTGTCATCCTTAGTCATTGTCTAGCTCTCTGACGCATAGCAAGTAATTGTGAAGATGATGGCCTGAATCAGACACATCATAGTCTTTAGACTGACATTTTTGCCCTTTAGCACTCGAGAGGTCCCTGGCAGCAGATTTTCCTTATGTGGTTCCTCATTCAATTGTAATTCCTCATCTGACAGCTGGTCCCAAGAGTGTTGATTGTAGAACCAAGCAAGCTGAAGTTATTAGCAATCTCAATCTCCTCTCTTTCTATCACTATGCTGCCAGTTGGTCCAGTGGTGAGGATCTTTGTTTTCTTGATGTTGAGTTTCAATCTAGTGAAAACTGCAGTCCTTGACCTTCTGCAGGAAACACTTTGGTCCTCTTCAGTTCAACAAGCAAGGTTGTATCATCTTCATATCACAGATTGTTGATAAGTCTCTAGCTCTTTGCACATTTCATTGTAATACTTTGCTTTGTCTTCTCAAGCTACCCTTTGAAATCTTCTTTTCAGCTTCTTAACTTCCTGATTCCTCCCCTTTGCCTTGGCTTCTCAGCATTCTAATGCAATATTCAGAGTCTCTCCTGACATTCATCTTGTTTGGGTTCCTCCCCCCCTTTCTCCCATGTCTGCAATAGTTATTTTAATTATTTCTTTTATAAGTTGTGAAGAAACTTCTGTTTAGAAATATCATTCCAGTGACCCGTTAGAAGGATGCTTTGGAGATCAGAATGAAAGCAGATCAGTTAGGTACTACTATTACTACTGTTCATTGCTATTGAACCAGCACGGACTCATTCTGAGGCTGTAAATCGCAAGGGAGGAGCTTGCACATCTTGTCTGAAGAGTCAGTGATAGAATTTACTGTGTTCCAGCTGTGAAAATGTGTGCCTGTTCATGATGGATTGGGGGACAAGGTGGAAAAGAGATCCATTCAAGACATGCAGGATGGGAATTTGCATTTTATAAAAATCAAATTGTGTGTCACCTTGTGAAGTAAGATATTATGGATTGCATTGTGTCCCCCAAAATTATGTATTTGTTGTAATTCCTAATCCCAGTAATGATTACAGTTCCATTTGGAAATAGGTTTTCTTTGTGATGTTAATTGACCAGTATTCACATAGGATGTGTCTTAAATCAATCTCTTTTGAGAGTGAAAGAAATTCTATGAACCAGGGTGGACCAGAGGAGATGTTAACCTATATAAAATTTGCCCAGGAGTAGAAGTGTAGGTAGGCCAGGACCTTCCTCCAGAACCAGCAGAGAGAGAAAGCCTTCTTTAAGAGCTTGAACCCTAGTTTGGTAAAATAAATTTCTAGTTGTTGACGTAACTCATTTATAGTATTTCTGTTACAGCAGCATTAAATAACTAAGATATAAACTATGCACTCGAATGATACAACTTAAGCTTTATAACAAATCTGTAGATGCAAGAATCCTTCCAATTTAATAGATGCTGAATCTCAGGCCTATCGAGGGAGAATGTCTTACCTCCGACCTTTCAGTAAAAAAAGGAAAAGAGCTCAGATTTGAGCCCATACTGATAAGAGTTTTTTAAATACACCTACCCTGGTGGCCTCGTGGCAAGAAGCTGTGCTGAAATCCCAAAGGCATGCAGTTTGAGGCTACCAGCTGCCCTGCAGAGAAAGATGGGCAGTCTCCTCTCGTGTGATTAACTGCCTCTGAAAACCTGCCTGAGAGTCAGCTGTGGGTCAGTTCCGACTCCACAGTACACAAGGGACCTTCATAGTAGGAACTATATAGGACAATAATAATAATAATAAATACAACAATGATGATACCAGCTCTGTCAATATTAAGAAATAATTTCCCGTCCAGATTCCTACCCAGGATTTCTGTTCAGGGCAGCGTCATGTGTGCCAAAGCAGAATGGTTTCTTTGGGGACATAGAGGACTTATTTATTTGGAAATCAATCTCCAGGCCTTTCTTCTCAGGTACTTCTAGGTGGATTCATACCTCCAGCCTTTCACTTAGCAGTGAGCCTTGAACTGTTTGCTTACCTATGAACCCTCACCAATATGAATAGCAGCTGCCATTCGCTATGTGGTTGTTGCGTGAGCCATTGTTGCAAGCACTTCACTGACCTTCCTTCTCACAACTCTTGCAGATACTTACAAAAATCCCATGTTATATTTGAGGACAGTGAGGTTCAGAGAGGTAATAGTCGTGTCCAAGGCCACACAGCTATTATGAGGCCAAGCAGAACTTTGAACCTGTCTCTTCTGGTTTTCTATGCATGCCTCTTTTCAGAAGATGGGAGGAGAGTGTGCGATGGAGCTGCAGCCCTAACCACACCGCTGTCTTCTCTCCGAGCAGTGCCCAGAGGAGCTGAGGCCCATGAAAGATGGCTCGGGCTGCTACGACCACTCCAAAGGCATCGACTGCTCCGATGGCTTTAATGGCGGCTGTGAGCAGCTGTGCCTGCAGCAGACCCTGCCTTTGCCCTATGATGCCACCTCCAGCACCATCTTCATGTTCTGCGGGTGAGTGTCTATCCCTGCATTCCAGTTCCAATGCAGGGGGGTGGGGGGGAGGAGGGACGCGAGAGAAGGGTTATGGCAAATGGACGGGACCTGACTTTCTAAGAAATTACCTGACTGTCTGTCCTTCCCAGCCCAACCACGGGGCAAAAGGCAAGAGGAGAGCCTTATGTCAGGCACTGGGAAGAAAATGGAAGCATACATTAAACTGAGTCTGTGCCCAGAAGGCAATCTGCAGTCAGGATGGTTTTCTTCAAACAGTCCAGCCCCTGTCCTATGTCCTGCAGGTGTGGGTAGCATAGTTTGGAGACAACATCGAGCATCTTGAAGGTGTTTACCAAAACAAACATCAGTTACAGTGCTTAAAAGGCACAAGCTTAGCTCCAGTTTTGAACAGTTTCTGTAAGAATTTAACAGTTCAGTGTCACTGTTTAGACTGCCCATATTCGCAAGGGTAATTAACTGAGGTGGGGAGAAGAAGAGCATAGCAAGGAAACTATGTGTTAAAGCTTGTAAAATAAAGCAAGTTATGGTCATGCTGCTGGAATTTCAAATTGTGGTTTTATAAATAGAGGGAGACAGAAGAGGACTACCATAAGTGCGACTTACTAAGTGACCTTTGATAAATCACACTTTCTTTTTCTGGGCCCACAGTTTGATTGCCTGTGAGATGAGAGCCTTGGACAGTGAAGTTGAAGTAACAAACCTTAGTTCCAAAGAGGGTGACAGTGGGAGTCTCACTTCCTTTGTACCAGGCATAATGTTTGTTTCTCTTGGTGGTGAAAACCAGAAAAGGAAGTATACCTTCTTCACTTCATTCTCTGTCTGATTGGGCCTTCCAATTTGAAATTCTTTGCGTCTTTGACATTTTGTAACTCAGAAAAATAATCCCATGACCACATCAGAATGTCAGTTATTAAAGACTCACATGTGTTCAGTGTCTTCATGGTTGCTTTTGTTGTTAGATGCCTTCGACTTGGTTCTGACTCAGAAACCACATCTCTCTACAACTGACTAAGCCGCCACCTGGTCCCATCCATCCTTTCAGTCATTGCTCTTCAGTCTGAGCCCACTGTTGTAGCTTCTATGTCAATCATTTTGTGGAAGGTCCTCCTTGTTTTGGCTGATTCTCTTATTATATCAAGAATGTCTTTCTCCAGGGACTAGGCTCTCCGGATAACATAACCAAAATATGTGAAGAAGACAAAGTCTCTCCGTCTTTGCCTCTAAAGAGCATCCTGGCTGCACTTCCACTTGTTCTTGTTTTGTTGTTGGTATGTGTGTTCAGTCAGAACCAACTCATAGCTGACCCTCCAGTGGGTTTTCAGAGGCTGTAAATTGTGCAAGAAAAGAGTGTCCATTTTTTTCCCCTTGCTGAGCAGCTGGTGGATTTGAACCATGCTCCTTTCAGTTGGTAGTCCAGCTCCTTACTAGTAGGCTTCCAGAGTTCCCTTTGTTATGCTGGTCAATGATCCATTTCATTTTCTATGCCGGTACTACAATCCAAAGGCACTAATTCATCAACACTGTCCATTTCCTCATGCATATGAGGTGATGGAAGATACTGTGGCTTGAATCAAGAGCACCTCAAGGTGGCATCTTTACACTTTTATAAGGGGTCACCTTCAGGTCTGCCTGATTCCTGTGTTCTTTTTCATGTAGTCCCACATCTCAGGTTGTTTATTTAGCCTAAAGTTGAATATGTGCGCTGAAAAGATATAATTCTGATGCCTAGCGTTCCTCATTTTGATCTACATAGTAACCCCTTTTTCCTTTTTTATTGAAATAGAATGACTCTTGGTCTATATCCAAGTTCTTCATGAGCTTAATGAAATGTTCTTGAATTATTATTCTGCACAATATTTCAGTACTGTTGTTGTTATGTGCCGTCGACTCGTTTGCGACTCATAGCGACCCTATGAACAACAGCCCTAAACCCTGCTCTGTCCTGCGCCAACCACACTGCCTCTGACACACCCATCCCGATTACCCCAGTCACCGAATCAATCCATCTCAAAGAGGGTCTTCCCCTCCTGCGCTGTCCCTCCACCCTCCCAAGCATGATGTCCCTCTCCAAGGACCCGTCCCTCCTGGCAACATGTCCAAAGTATGTCAGACGAAGCCCCAGAATCCTTGCCTCCAAGGAGTAGCTTGGTTTAATCCTCTCCAAGATGAATCTGTTTGTTTTCCTGGCAGTCCATGGTACATTCAGTACCCTTCTCCAGCACCAGAGCTCAAAGGCATCAACTTTCCTTCTGTCCTCCCTAGTCATTGTCCAACTCTCTGATGCATAACAAGCGATTGCAAATACCATGACCTGTATCAGGTGCACCTTAGTCTCCAGAGAGACACCATTGCTCTTGAGTACTTTAGAGAGGTCCCTAACAGCAGACTTTCCCATCGCGATACGCTTTTTGATTTCCTGACTGCCGGTGCGAAGAGTGTTGACTGTGGAGCCGAGCAAACTGAAGTTGTGAACAATCTCAATCTGTTCGCCATCCATCCTGACGCTGCCAATTGGTCCAGTGGTGAGAATCTTTGTCTTCTTGACATTGAGCCTCAGTCCATACTGAAGGCTGCAGTCCTTGACCCTTCGCAGCAAGTGCATGAGGTCCTCCTCAGTTTCAGCAAGCAGGGTTGTGTCATCTGCATAACGGAGATTGTTAATAGATCTTCCACCAATCCTGATGCCACAATTCTCCTCATAGAGCCCAGCCTCTCAGATAATCTGCTCTGCATACATGTTGAAAAGGGATGGAGACAGGATGCATCCCTGGCGTACACCCTTCCCAAATTTGAACCATGCAGTGTTACCCTGCTCTGTTCTCACTACTGCCTCTTGGTCCAAGTATATATTTCAGTATATTGTCCATAATTAATTATGGTCCACACAATAGAATACTTTTTCATATAACACAGGTCACATCATTGTGGTATTCTCTGCTTTTAGCCAAGACACATCTGAAATAAGCAGAGATATCCTTTATTACATGTACTCTTCTGAATCCAACTTGAATTTCTGTAAGTTCCCTGTCAGTAAACTCTTGCAGCTGTTTTTAAGTTATCTTCAGCAAAATTTTGTTTACATGTGGTGACCTTCTTGGTAGAGTATTGTACTACCAGCTCAAAGGAAAGCAGTTCAAATCCACCAATTGCTCAGTGGGAGGAAGGTGGAGATTACAGTCCAGTCTCTGAAAAAAATATGCTGGATGGTCACCTGTGAGTAGGGCCAGATTCAGTGACAATACGTTGAATTTGTTGTTGACTGATATTAATGATAGTGTTGCATCACTTTCCTGGGGTATGAGTGCAAACAGAAATTTCTCCCAGTCAGTTGACCAGGTCACAATTTCCCATATTTCTTGGCACTGATGAATGAGTGCTTCCAGCACAACATCGATTCTATAAACTGACAGATGAGTGATGAGTGCTCTCCTTAAGGTAGAAAAATAAAATGATAGACTGTATGAAAACCAAGGAAAAACTAATAAAAGCAAATAAGACATTTAACAGTCTTTTCAGTCCTAAATTAAAAAAAAATGGGGGAGAAGTGGAAGAAGTTTATGACTTTAATCTTAGTTCATGAGTTTAATCTTAGTTTACCAGAAAATGAACTTAAGATGGACAGTTCTAGTCAATGGAGTTCCATTGCTCTTCCAGAGCTTATTTCTGAGGCCCTCCTGCAGGTGTATTTGTGCAGGTGTTGGAGCAGTGCATTGAAGGCCTTTGATATGTATCAGTAAAATAAATAAGAAATAAATTAGTGTATGCAGACCTGAATTTATAGCCGCCTCTCCTCAGCTTAAGTGACTGCAGGGCAGTGGTGAATAAATTATGCATGGCCTTGGATCTGCAGGCTTGCATGCAGAATCAGCTGTGTTCTTGTCATTGTTATTTTTCTCCCCTGCACTAGGGAAGGGGAGTGTCCTTCTGTGGCAAGTAACAGCAATGACAGCAGCAGCAGTAATGGATTTTGACATCGAAAACTATCACCACTTCCATCCGCAGTGCAGTACGGAAGGCGAGGGCTCTGTGTGTTCAGTAGCTATGGTTTCAGTGCTGGGTCTTTTTTGTATCCTTATTAGGCATTTACTGAACAAGCCTCTCAGTCATTGATGCCTTCCACACTGAACTGTAAAGTCCCTGTGTGGCACAAAGGGTTAACACATTCAGCTGCTATGTGCAAACGTGGAGGGAGGTTCAGATGCACCCACAGATGCCTTGGAAAAACCCTAGCAATCTAATGATAAGGGAGCCACTTAAACTCCCCTGAAGCACTGTCCTAGCAAGATGTGCTTTGTCACCAGGAGTCAGAAATAACCTGATGGCAACTGGTTGCTTGTTTCACATGATGGTAGTTTTGAAGAGAGTAAAGTTCTTTCTTTACGCCTTTGTTCCTTAAAAGTTAAGGAACTTTCCCAGAAGGTGACCTGGCGGCATAATGGGTAGCATGTTCTTCTCTTAACCAAAAGGTCAGTAGCTCGATTCCACCAGCTGATCCATGGGAGAAAGATGAGCAGGCTGCCCGCCTTGAGGTCCACAGCCTTACAAACCTGATGAGCATCATAAATTAGAATCAATTCTCTGGCAGGGGTTTAGGTTGGGTTTGGGTAATTTACCCTTGGCTGCTTCCTTATCATGTAGCCCAGAACAAGTGACTTAATATCTCTTTGCCTCATTGGTGAAATAATGATAACAATGATAGCTACAGGATATACCTATTACATGAGTCTGGTAGTATAGTAGTCTGCTAACCACAAGATCAACAGTTCTAACCCAGTATCCACTGTGGAAGGATGTGGCTGGCTGCTTCCCTGGAGAATCACTCTCTTACTCATTGTCATTGAGTCACTTCCAGCTCAGAGTGACCATCCATCAGGTTTCTCAGCCTCAAAATCTTGATAGTAGAAGACTTTCTGTTTTTCTCCCATGGACCAGCTGTTGGATTTGAACCACTAGCCTATTTAGTTAGTATCACAACACATTATGGACTGTGCTACCAG